TACTCAACTGTACCAGCAATAATCCAATTACTCACAAACGAAACTGTGTGCAGACATTGTTTAAAAGAATTCAAACATACACATTGTAGCACTCCAGAGTTGAAAAGAATGGAAGAAAAGTACCTACAAACGGTCTTCAAGAAGAATGGTTATCCACAAAATTTCAACAAAAAGTGTTTAAAGTCGAATCAAAACACCAACAAGGAGCCATCACCAAACACCACAAGAAAATTCATCCTACCATACATCAGAAATATCTCTGAAATAACAGATAGAATAGTGAAACCATTTGATATAGATATAGCACACAAGCCAGTCAAACCGCCTAATTCGATATTGTGCAAACTGAAAGATCCAACAGAAAAAGGGGATGAAATTAATACCATTTACAAAATAAATTGTATGAACTGTAACAAGCATTGCATCGGTCAAAATGGGCGTCTCTTTCGAGTCAGAATCCAGGAACACAAATCAGCCGTGAAAAGACACAATATATATTCTTTAGTATCAATGCATATCGACAATTATGGACATCAGTGATATTTCTTATTTATATTTTGGTCTTTTGTTATCCTAATTCTTAATTTTCCTATTTTTTATATTCTCAATTTGTGATTTTAATTCACTTACTTACCACTTTGGTGTGAGACCATTTTATTTTCGTCTCCTTGTGTTTGGACAATAGAAGTATCATCGCAAACCTAGTGGTCTTCTGATTTCCGCCTTCTCGCGTCAGGACTATTAGTTTCTCGACCAGTCCATAACAATAATTTAGCGACGAGTACATAACAATCAGTTTGATTGCGATAATGTCAAAATCTTAGACAGAGGAAACACCAAAATTGCCAGGGAATTCCTAGATGCCTGGTACTTAAACGAAAATGCATTTAACAAACACATTAATATAGAAGAAATATACTAACTAATAAAAAGTAAATCAACTGACCAGAAAGTTTAAAATCCAAGTCAATAGAAAATGGGCAATAAAAATGTAAAGATGGTTACCGGGAGACGCAATTATATCATTCATGAAGAAATTTAAATCATTTCACTTTATCCAAAATACCGCACTGAAGGTGTTGTCCAGAAAGACGACAAAAGCTCCACAACTAAACCAACCAGCTCAGAGAACACTATTAATTGCAGATGAAGAGATACTATCATATTTTCACATTATATATTAGTGTGCACAATTAAAAACGTTTTCAGTTTAGTAAAATAGCAAATAAACAACAGACTTGTGTGTACAGAATTCCTGAGATTGATTCACTTTCTGTTCTTTGAGTTCTGAGTGAAATACAGAGTTCTAAGTTTCGAAGCTTCAGTAGCGAGTGTTGTTCTTAGTGCGTGGGGTTGATAACCTTATGTCCGACTTTTCCTTCTTTCTGGGGTAGTAATCGATTTGCTTACAGAATCAAACAATTCTTTCTGACGGTGCAGCGTAACTTAGTTTTGATGTAACCACTTTTGTTGAGATGCCTCATGTAGGGGGAAATCTACCACCATGGAGAGTTAGAAGACAGGAATATGTTGGACTGAAAAGAAGACTCTAGACGGACTTTGAGGATGACCTATGTTTGATGAAATCCAAAGTCAAAGGTATACAGGTGAAAATTAACAAGTTGGTAAAAAAGGCGGTGAAGACATCACTACAAGTGAATATGGAGAAGGCAGAGGTAATGAAGATACCTAACCAAAAACAACAAACACCAGTCACCAGCAGTGGGACAAATCTAAGAGAAAACCACGTCTTTCACTTATCTAGGCAACACCTTTCAACTACATTGGCACAGATGGACAGGGTCGGAAGGGCAAGACAGTCCCTCACCACTCTGAAATCAGTGAGGAAAACTTTGGCACGGAGCACAAGAATCAAGATTCAGTTGTTTCCCGAAATTAATGTCAAGAAACAGTGTCACATCGCGCGCTGGGACCTGCTGTAGAATTCCAACGGGGAATGACCAGTTGGGAGTATGCCAAAGAGCAATTTGAGGTGGGTGGTGTGAGAAGGGGACGAGAGCTGATAGTCAATCGTGCTGCCAGCTAAGCAGGACTGAAGAGAACATAGTTAAATGGAGATGTTCTGTTGAAACCCTATGTATTATAATCGGCGAAAATGGTTTTCAGATGTCCAAATATACTGACACCATTTCTTTTGTTCGATTGCAAGTGAGCGTATTTATGTGAGTTACAGCTAATTGCTGTTATTTGTCATGTCTGCAATTAATTTACATGCTCTGCGTAAAACCAATTAACTAACTCAATGCTTATCAGATTTCAAATTGGTTTTTCAGTCTTTCATTGAAGGCTGTAACAAGCTTAATAGTCTCGCTGAAAGCGTGTAATTGAAAAATATTATCTTGGCTTACCGTTGCTTTAAAGACTGTTTCACCTATTATTTCCTTCTTTAAGAGATTCTGTCGTAGAGAGATATCATACACAAGGACGCTGAGCTAAATCCGAATTATTAGCGATGGTAATATGCAGCAGATTCTATGAAGATAGAATGAAAGATTGTGGGAAACCATGGAGCTAGCCAAATAGATTGCAGAAAACAGAGTAAAGTGGCGAAGTTTGCTGAAGCCTTATTTTTTACAAGGAATCCCAGGGATGAATGTTAATAAAAATTAAGGATCTTTACGTTTCTCGGTTTTACAATATTGTCTTTTCCCCTTCATTTGATTTTTGTGCTTAAGTCCATTTAAAGTGTGGAGATCTAACGTCGCCATTTTCAATCTTGAAAGTTTCCTCAGATATGGACCTTAAAATTTCTCCCCTGTAAGACTTTCACTGAAAGTAGCGAAGAGTCCTGTCGTGCTTACACTCAGAATGATTGTTTCTAAAGAAAGTTATGTGAATATAAAGAAAACTACGCAAGAATATATGACGAAGTTATAGCTAGGCGTGAAAATATGAAAGTAAATACACATGGGTAACCTGGAATAAAAGGCGTTATGCATTATACCAACCCATCTATTATTAAGTATGCAAGCAGACAGGAAAAGGTGAATCCATTAACTGCGAACTCTCATATATTTAGAGAGAAAACATATTGGCTGTTTTTCTTTATTCACTCCCTGAGCGCATTATATATATATATATATCTTGTGTTCATTGAGTACATAACAATTCCTAAATGACTGAGAAATAAATTGACTTTACTCTCATAATGTGTAAAGGAAGTTTTGTTAACTATACATCTAGCCTCTGTAAGCATGTATAAAAGTGTCAATAGGATTTATAATCAAAAAAGGTTAAGTCGCTTATAATGCAACATCATGTTAACGACGATTAATACAGAACTTTGGTAGTACTGTCACATTCGCATATATCTGTATCTCGTTTAAGTACATAATACTATGATAATCGACAATCTTGATAAGTAGAGTCTTACAATAGGGTGCTTTATATTTTTGTCAGTCTAAGAATAATGGCTGTTAGGCCACACCCTTCATGAAGACGATAATAATAATAATAATAATAAGAAGAACAGGTTTTCCAAAGTTGACGATAACAATACTCACCATGTCACGTTATCCCAGGCAGTCGTTAGCTAACCTTACTTGACATGGATCTATGCATTTAGTCACTTAGTAGAGGAAATAAAAAAATAAAAACAAGAGTAAGGTCAGTAATTTTCTGTTGCTAGAGTCAATGAAACGGTGTCAACTAGTTGCATATGTGGGTAGTAAACTATTCCAGCTGACATAGTGGAAAACATTAATGTAGATTTAGAAACATAATGTGAAACACTGGTTACATTTTACTTATCTGAGGTGACCAGTATCACTGTTTTAGCCTGTTTGAGGTAGAAGTATACAGTGAATACGTTGAAAAGACTTCGTGAGCGAGTTACAGGGACTTTCAGATCTACGGACAAATATTTTGTTAAATCATAAAACAGAGTATATATATATATTTAGAAGATAATGTTTCATTAGGAACATTTGAAAATTACAAAATGTAACCAAAAAATAAAAATAATTAATGCTTGAAAAAGCTTTACTCATTTTATTGGTATAATTTGATTTGAAAAGGATTAAAACATACAACACAAACACATACATACAGAGATAAATAGATAGATGGGAAAAAACTTCGAGTTTCCCAGTAGTATTAGCATTAGTTGTAGCATTCATAATCACAAAATGAAGATATAAATAATAAATCAGTATTAACCAATGAAAATTAAACTTTACCCAGTCTATTTTGTTTAGGCCAATGTGAATGGCTCAATGTATATTGCTGTTTGTGTTGTTGTGGTTATTTTTGTTGTTTAAATGTATGTACTCACATTTATCAACTCAATAACGCATATATACATATGCGTGAATAAATATACGCATAGACAGAACTTCACGTTACCTTCAAATCAAATTATATTTGCCACAGAAATTATCTACTTGGGATTAAACAGAGAATTACAGTCATTCTTCTTCTCCTTCTTTATCCCGACGTTTTGGTTGCTGTCGCCAACCTCAGTGTTGTAACTGTCAGCAGGCGTTGTAGATTATTGTGAGGATCAACTATACGATTCGAAGAGGATAAAATAAAAGGAGGCTGAATCCAGCGTGCTGATATACGTACACACCGTGTTTTTTAATTTATCTGGTTAAATATAAGTGATTTGATAAAAATATATATATAAATAAGTGCATACATTTAATTATTCAAATGAGGCCCATCTCTGATTTGACTACTATTCACAACTAACTAAACTCTCTTCCATTCATTAATCTCAATGTTTGATAAATACATACAAGCATGAATTCAATATGGATAAGTTTTGGCTCGAAAAATAATTTCATCTCACTGCCTATACTACTTTTAATACTGCCAACTAAACAGTGTTCAATGAACCACATTCTCTTTTAATAACAGACCTCAATAGTTTATAGACAGACTGATTTCAGCTCTACTTGATTAGTAAAACGCACACACACACACACAAACAAACAGAAGGGAGAACATAAAAACCTTTTGTTCATTCTGCATCGAAGCAAAAAGAGAAAAACGCATTTGTTCACTTTTTCATATAGGTAAGTTTCATGAGTTATTCTTTTTATTAAAAGAAAGAAACATTGAAATTTATGATAAAAAATGAGTTATTTTAGTCTGCTTTGAACATTTTTCAGTGGTTTCTGTTAAACACCAAGCTACTACCTATTTTAAATTTTTAAATTGGTTGAATCAACTTTAACTATAAAAGTAACATGTGAAGACCAGAAACTTGCATGCCCCTTTGAATCTTCAATGGACAAGGTATTTTTTTATCCCCAGGAGAAAGTTGGTGACATGTGGAGACATTTTTAAAAAAAAGACTGACTAGTAAATAACGTACATTCTTCCCGATAACTTCTTCATCAGCTTCTACAGTTAAATGTCCAAAATGATTAAAGAATTCCTAATGTCTAAATAACATCGATCAATAATGTCAATAGATTACAGTACTAAAGCATTTGTAAGTGATAATACGCGTCAATATAACACTAAAGTATATATCAGATAAATTAAGGGAAATAATAGAAAAATTATGATTTTATAAGTTTCACAGAATATCAAGTTAGCAATGGTGGATTGATCTGTTTCTTGTACACTCAGTTTTCCGGTTGTTTTATGTGAACTGCAGCGAACTCTATTGTTTGCAGTATGCTTATCTAGATGCCTTTTGGTGATTTATTTGCTACAAATAGATGATGGGAAGAGATTCTTCAGGGGCGGTCTGTTCAGAAGATGTGATCTAATACTCAGTTGTGCATTGCTTTTATGAAATTTTCATTTAGCCACGATGGTAGTTCTTTCCTAAGACGGGAAACTAAGTTCAAATTTCACAAAAGTAATACGGTAATACCCATAATAAGTAATTGAATAGTAACCGAGTGACTTTCACTTATTTCAACAATGAACTTCACTGATGTCTGATTAATATACTTCGTGGTGTTATGAACCGTGATCATAGACGTTGGGTTGTATTATTATTATTATTAATGTTCCCTTGGGTTCCTAGTGGAACATAGGGCTTCAACTTCACGTCTCCACTTGATTCTGTCTTCTGCTGTACTTTTCACCTGTATCCATGCTAGCCCATAGTGTTTGAACTCCTCTTCACATGTTCTCCTCCATGTCACCCTTGCACTGATGTCCCACTCGCCGCTTCCCTTTCGGCCTGGTTCCACTCGAGCAATGGCCTGACGCGCGCGCTATGTCACCCAGTGGCCTCCACAGCGAGTGTCCAATCCATCCATCTCCACTTTCTCCTGCATATTTGCTGGGCGATTGGTTAATTCTTGTTTTGTTTGTTTGTTCCCATAGTTTCTTGTTGGTGATCCTTTCCGGCCCGGCCATCTGATCTTCAGTATGGAGCGAAGACAGTTGTTGATAAAGGTCTGGTGTGCAACAGGCTGTTGGAAACATTCTTTGTGACCCTCCAAGTTTCTGATCCGTATAGAAGAAGTAACTTGACGTTTGTATTAAAAATCCGAGCGAATTTTGTTTTTGATGCTGAGCGACCAGATGCTGATTTCCAGATTGGTTTCAGGTTGATGAATGTGTTTCTCGCCTTCCCGATTCTCGCTCGATTTGACATCCTCGTCCGTTCCGACTTCCTGTAATTGAGACAATACTCCCTAGATAAGTGAGTGAATAAAGTAACCTCTTTCAAATCCCTCCCGTTGATGGTGATTGGAGCATTTATTCAGACTACACCTCCTTCGAAAGAGGAATTTATTGCATTTCCTGCAACTACTAAGTAGCTTAAAATTCCCCATTAACTCGTATAAAAGAAGAGGTGTTTAGTGAAAAGTTACTCTTATGAGTAATATCATTCTCAAACTATACAATCACATGTGTATACGGAAAAAAAGGAATGTTTCGAAGATGTATCATTTAAATTGTAAGTTACAGACAGACAACAGTTACACAATGCAAAAAATATTAATCAGATAGAAACTAAAGTAGAATTGAATCAGTAGATCAGGTAACGTAACATAACATAATGACAGGACTTAGTAGAGAAAAATAAAAATTATTTGTCAGTTTAAGATCACTGTCATGAAGAGTAGAAATGTAGTAATGAGGAGGCAGAAACTATGGCAATCCACACAATGAATTCTGAACTCTGAACATAATGAAGCAGAGCCTGGAAAACAGTCTATTATTCATATCATCACACCAAGTCTTTGACAGGGTAATGAAAAATAGATTGTATTTACATCATCATCCGGTAGGTAATGTCGCTTTTAATTATTGTACCATGTTCACCAGTTTTGACCTTCATCGGTATGTCTGTTCATCTATCTTTTTGTCTGTCGGTATCTGCATCCGTCTTCTTTAACACGTCTTTGCATGTAACACTATGGTACTTGACAAAGGAAGTGAAATAGACTGAAAAGTAACTATTCCAACAATCACTGCATTCAGTTGATGTGAATTCTCGTGTGTTTTTTTCCACACACACAATTGTCTCTCTTGTAAACAGGACCCACACTGAAAAGTGACGTGATGCGATATCGTTCAGTACTGCCTCATAAACAACACAACCCTTCTTTACAGGAAGTCATATATTTTAATTTCTTTTTATTCCCCGAGACCTCTACGTTTTTCTTTCTTTGACATTCTTTTCGACTCTATGGTTGATTATGTGTCTCTGTGATTGTGAGTGTTTCTCACAATCACAGCTAATGAAACGAAATGTGTCCACTGATCACTGATTGTAGTTAGAATTAGGAACTTGATGACTTTTTCATGGTGAAATACATTTACAGCATACCGGTATATTTGATAACCACTGGAAGCAAGAAACAACTGTGAAGTGAAAGCAGTTTAATGAATTCTCCTAACTTCCCATAACAACATTTGTCAGTTCATTATTGAATGCCAATTCCTAATTCTAACACACACACACGTATACACATGAACATGAAGACAGCAAATAATTATTCAGTTCAATAAGTGTGTGATCGATAAGAGGTGAGCGTTAATTAACCAACGTAATTAAGCAGAAAAAGCAGAAGTGATGATATCTGAGAAAAGGACGCATTAACACAGAGATTTCAGTTGCCATGGTTAGAAGAAATAGGTAACTTTGATCATTTAAATAGCGAAACTACTGATTTACAAAGTAATTTTATCAACTTTAAATAACTAAAACCAAACTGGAAGATAACGGTAAGAAGGTTTTTAAGGTGCCTGATTAAATCTGAGGAAATTAATTAATTTAAAACACCTACAATCATTAATATTAAAACCCAACTTTGATTTTCAATTTCAAGACATTTTGAATACATTGGGAACACTATACATACCACAGAAGGTATGGGCTGTATACACAAAGATCCGGATTTTCCAGTCGATTCGCACAGGCTTCAGCAAACACAACAATATCTTCATAGTTTATTTCAAATAAGAAGCTGACATGTAAGACCGGATTCAAATAACCAGTCCTTAAATTTATCTCGTTAAGTATATCTTTCTACTGACGGTATCACACATATCGTTGAGTGCCACTAAAACACAGGACTATTAGTAAACTGGGCTTTAGATGTCTATTTAATAATCTCAGTGACATCTCACATCACACCAAGCCTACGTTTCTTAAACTTTGAACATACAATAATATCAAGGTATTAAAACGGGCATTTAAATCACATAACATGATTCTTTATGAATTCAATTACAAATAAAGTCAATTTCTAACTGGATTTGCGGTTAAAGCGTGTATTCTGCCTACTGAAAAATAAGGCTTTCATCGCGAATTGAAATCAACCAGAGACCAGAGAGAAATAAGCCCCGCTTATCCCGACAACTGTTTTATTCCTAGTTCTGAACATTTCGACAGTTCCCTATTCATAACTGACAACAGACAGAATAGTGGTACGTTAATTTTTGAAAAGATCCAGTAGTTAGGTAGGAAGGAGTCTAAGATTCCCAACTTTTATGTGTTTTTCATGAAGACTGTGTCAATATAAATGTGAATTTCCTAGAATTAAAGCATGAAAACTTTGTCACCGAACAAGTAGTACTGTGATCTGTACTACTGGTGGAGCAGCTAATTGCGATTCCGACGAGGAGAGTGAGCAAACAACTAATACTACTTTTCAACTTAAGTGGGATTCACTCCTACTTGTTATCGTAAGTATCATAGAAACTAGTAGGTTGTTCAGAGATGATTATTGAAAAGCATCCAGTCAAAAAATAAAAAGAAGCTCACTAAGTTATCAGCGAAAATGAAGAGTGTTCACCAGTGGAACCATACACATATATCTGAAATACATTTAGCATTTGTGTAGAGAATAGTGATTCTGTGAAGTTTAACGATTCTGATCAGTTTACTAATTTGTCTTCAAAATGTCAACAGAATTCTGAGTTCCACTTTATAGATATCCGTCTATGAATAGGAATAAACAATTACCTGCAATGACAGCGTATTTAGGGACATACACTTTCTCTGAAAAATCAGCAGGTATACTGCAGATACGATATGCATATATATATATATATATATATATTTATTTCTAGCACTTCTGTGCCATATCTCCTTATTTCTTTGACGGTATAAGCAACCTTCCCATCCTTGCACACTGTGTGATTATTCCACGTCCACATGGTCATTTTGGCTTTCATAGAAATAAGACAAATCGCCTGAATGGTTCCCCAAAGGCTTTCACCACCCCACATCATTCCATTTCTATGATTTAAGCAAAGAATATGCTCCTTTTTTAACACTTTTGCTGTGCTTTGAAGTTCCTGTAGTAAGTGGATTGATTTTCTGAGGTGAGATCACTAGCCCCACGCCCGACCTTCCCTCTTTTCCTGGGCTCTGGTCCTAAAGCTAAAGAACTAGTGGCCTGGTAAACTAGGCGAGATCATGTAGGTGGAAACCTGGATACATTCATTTGAACAGTTCACTGACCCATCCAATTCTCTACCTTTATATGAATGCTATAAAATACTGGCGAATATTTAATGATGCATTCATGTGGAACTATAACTAAATCTATTCTAATCTTATTGGATAAAAGTGTCCTGACCTTGAGAAAAT